AGGAATAGGTCAGGGGGAAAAAGAGAAGGGAGGGAAAAGGAGAAGGAATAAACGTATGAAAGAAAAAAGGAAGAGTACGGATAGTAGGCGGCTCAAGGAACAGGCCCGCTTTTCCAAGTGGGGGAGAGAGGGATAGGGGAGGAAGAGAGTCAGGAAGAAAGAAGAAGAGTGCGAAAAGGGTAGAAAAGAAACCAAGAGAAGAGATAATAGTAGCCGGATAAGGGGTTCAGTATAAGCTCACCGACCTCACTGTGTGGGGAACTAGATCGGTGTGAAACCAGGAAGTGAACGGCCACCGGCCGGAGGACCCCTATCGAAAATTATGCAAAAGGAGAGCGAGATCGAGGAGGTTGGGGTTGAGGAGGGCAAGTCTTCAGGGTTGGAAATGTAAAATTGGTCGGCAATCCTCTCCGTGGGATGGTGCAAGGTGCACCGTAGAAGGGATGAGGACCGGGGCGGCAGGAAAGAGCGCAGTGTGAGGGTTTATGAGTAGACAGGGAGCGTCACAACCTTTGTGTGTAAGCGGTGTCATAGAGTGCACAGGGTGAATGCAATAGGACGGTCAGACTATGTTGAGACGAAATCAGGACTGCGAAAGGACTTCTCGTTATAGGAAGAGTAATGGAGGGCCCACGCTACTATTACAGGCAAACCGTGTCGTGCAGCAAAAATGTAAAGAGTCAATAAAAACCAGTACCAATGAAATCAAAACAGACCAGGTAAACTAACCCCGCTCCCCCATTCAACAAACAGTAACCATCTAAACTTCCGAGGATCATTACCATTCATTTGAAAAAATACAGATAGAATATTCGAGGCCCCTAGGGTAGCAAAGGGAACGAGCATGACCTCTCTCGAGTTTGGCAAATGGGAGGGGACAAGGAGGTGGGAGGAAAATGCGTACGGGGGAGGTCGGAGGTATGAAAATCATCCGGTCAACCTCGCCGGCCATGTTAGAAATCAGAGATCGGTCAGGGAGTAAGATACAATTCCAGTCAAGTTGGCCTTTCGTGTGAAGGAGAGAGGCGATGCTCGTTCACATCGCTATATCCAGTGATCAGTATGAGTTGTTACAGTCACCTATAAAGCATCAACCTATCTTAACATCCAGTCACCCCATCACCCCCAACCACCCCCCTAAAAATATAAGGAGCCTCGGCCACATTCCCACATGTACTATACTTTATGAGTAAGCAGAGGCCTCTTCCGAAGAATCAGGAAGAGGCAGGTGATCCGTGGCATGCAGGGGTAGAGCAGACTACATCTGGACAGTCTCATATCAGCAGTAAGACGTCTTTGAAGCAGCGAGGACAAGGTTCAGGTGTTGCAGGAAGAACGAGGCCAAAGGATTGTGATCATCCAGAATGCTCTCGGTTGATTGAAGAATGTGGGAGGTCGGGAAAGGCCCAAGTCGGGAACCATCTGGAGGTGGAGGACCTGTTAAGGGGTGCGGAGTGTCTGGCGATGATAACCATAATAGAGTCAGGGAGTTGTTCCCTATTGTAGGAGGTTGAGACAAAATGAACAGTGCTCATCCTCTTGTTAAGCAGGTACATAGGCCCAGTCAGTGGTTGCGGGGCATTAACTGCAGGTGGAGCCCATGGAGCGTTGGCCACCATCCTGGCGAATAGGTGGCGGGTGCATAAAAGTAGAAGTCCAACAAACATGGAACCGTGAATAGATGAATAGCCAGAACTCTCGGGGCAAAATGGCGATAAATCATGCAGAACCTTATAAGAGCTTAGGTGCTTGGTGAAGAGAGCGCCGGAAAGTCAGGAGCAGTGAGCGTCTCGGACTCTTAGATTTCGCGCCTCGGCTTCCTGTGTGCCGGAGAGGCCGTCAGGCTGAGAGCAGCTGGTGTGCCCCCTGCGGGGAGTCTTGGAGGAGTCGATGGGACTATCCGCCCCCTACGCTGAGACTGGCCAAGCCAATCCATAGTGCTGTCTTCAGTTCCCAGATCCTGGGCTGGCGGCAATCGCAGGGAGCCATGCCACTCAGGCAGGTCAGTCAGTGGAATGTCCAGGGAAGTGTAGAAAGATGATAATTCTTCAGGGGTTCGCAGGTTGAAGGTGCAACCATTAGCTTGTACAGACAGGCAAAAGGGGAACCTCCATCTGTAGAGAATGTTACATGATCGGAGCATATCCAGAAGGGGACGTAGCGCACGCCGTTGTCGCAAGGTAATGCTGGATAAGTCCTGAAACAGTTGTATTTCCGCTCCCCCATATAAAAGATGCCTTCTATCTCTGGCGCAGCGGAGGATATCCTCTTTGAGTGGAAAACTGACTAGGCAGCAAACAACATCCCTGGGTGGATCTGCGTCTCCCCTCCTGGGTCGGATCGCTCTGTGTACACGCTCGATATCAACCAGGGATGCTGGCGGGCGACCAAGGTGATCATTAAATATTGCGATAACCGCTTTGGAGAGATCGGTAGTTTCCACTGATTCTGGGAGGCCGCGGATTCTAATTTTATGCCTGCGACCCCCGATTGTCTAAGTCTTCAATATGCCTATGGAGGTCCCTAATAGCAGAAGCGTGTACCGCTGATTTTTGCTGAACATCATGTATGGCGGACCTGCTTTGTCTGGATATGGATTCCACCTGGTCCAGTCTTGAGCCCAGCGCCTGTATGTCTGCCCTTAAATCGCTAACAGCGGTATTAAGCGATGTAGTCAGGGTGGCTTTGATGTCTGCAGCCACAATCTGAAGATCCCTTAGGTAGAGGGATTGAGAAGCAGAGGGAATGTCATGCTGGGACACTGTATCTGGGGCTGCATGTGTGGCAGAGCAGGAGGGACTCGACATGTCTGCGGCTGTAGAGGGGGGGGGGGGGGGGGGGATATGCAGAGGGGGAAGGAGATGACTGCTGTCCCTCTCTCTGCTGCTGGGAGCGGAAGAGCTCATTTATGTGTCGCCCCTGCGTGCTACAGCCCCGAGGGGATCGTGAACGGGCACCGGATGATGTCCGGTCCATCTTCCCCATCCTGTGGCCGCTGAGTCTCACCCGGCTCCTCTGTAATGCGGAGTAGAGGGATCCGGCTGGCGGGAGCTCTCGGGCTAAGCGTCCATCTTCCTGGCGCGGCAGACCACGCCCCCCGTGAAAACCTTAATGATTCAGACTTTGAACACATTAAATGTCACATTAGGATATACTATACCTGTATATCATGTTCATTTAAGTATTTATTATTTTTTAATTCTTCATTTATTTACAGCACAATTTGTTTGTGATAGTATAATTCAAACATAAGGTGGATGTTTTTTGAGTGCAGTTGTAGGATTGATTATTTAACTTGATTGCAGTGAAAGGTGTTTTTTTTTTTTTTTTTTTTTTTTTTTTTTTTAATGCTGCTGGCAGACACTGACCATTCAGTATCTGCCATCCCTCTCTGCCAATCCCTCCACTGACTTCCAATTGCCCAGGAAATTAAATTCAAAATAATAACAAAATACAAAGCCATGAGCTATACAATACAATGCCCTGAGCTACATCCCCAATCTTGTCTGCAAATATCACCCAAACTGTACTCTCTGCTCCTCCCAAGACCTCCTACTCTCTAGCTCCTTTGTCTCCTACTCCATCCTCTCCTCCTCATCCCCTCCTCCCATGCTTGTCTTCAGGACTTCACCAGAGCCTCTCCTATCCTTTGGAACTCTCTACCTCAGTCTGTCCGGCTATCCCCTACTCTGGCTGCCTTTAGGTATCTCTGAAAACTCATCTCTTCAGGGAAGAGTACCCATTTCCAATTTAGTGAACTTTTACCACTTCCATGAGCTCCTCTAACCTTTTGTACCACTTACCCCACCCTATTAGATTGTAAGCTCTTATGAGCAGGACCCTTTTAACCCTTTTGTATTTTATTGTATTGTAACTGTACTGACTGCCTTTATATTGTAAAGCACTGTGCAAACTGTTGGTGCTATATAAATCCTGTATAATAATATTAATAAGTTACTTGTATCAAGAAGTACCCCTTTAAGGACTACATATCCCATGATCCACTGCTGCACAGCAAGTCCTCTTTCTCATGCTCCCATTGGCTCAATCTCTCCTGCTCTCTGCTTAGCTCAAATCCATTGCCAGGAGTGGAGGCAGGGAATATCACATTAATCCCACTAAGATCACACAGCAGAGAAGCTCAGGGTGAAAGGAAGCTGTTGTAGCACAATGAAGATGGGGAGAGGGTAGTGAAAGGAGAGAGGTACATGCAGTCAGCAGCACACCCAGCTACACATAAATAACTGAGGACTTGCATTTGGCTTTAGTGGCCAGCTTTTACAGGCTAAAAGCATCTTAACTATCTCAGTGCCAGCATCTTAATTTTTAAAATGGAAAAAATAATCATATTGCTGGTGTTTGTACTGTCCTGGCATTTTTATTTGGGGTTTTTTTTTGCCTTTTTATGTGGTGATGCATTAAAAAAGTAGATTATTAAAAAAACTGTCAAAAGAAAACTGATATAAAAGTCATTTTGATTCAGTGTTGCATAATTGTCAGTCAAACTATCATAGCAATGAAAACTGAAAAATAGCCTGGTAATAAAGAGGTATGCACAGACCAGTACACAAAAGGTAATCCAGGGTGTATCTATGATAGTGGGTTTGTAGAGCATGCTGGGATTTTAATAAGAAACTCCCAACACATACTGTATCTTCATATTTGTTTGTAGAGATGGGCTTCATGTTCGAGTTGAACATGGGGTGTTTGTGTGTTCAGTGAACACGCAACCAGTATGGGCATTCAGCAAGATAAAAACAAAGATGTAACTTGCGAGCCACTCACTGCTATTACAGGATCATAAACATACAACACATCCTCTTTAAATGTGCATGTAACGGAAGCGTAGGCAGGACAGAGCACACGGAGAAGATGGGGAACACACAAAACTTTATTGAAGCAACAAATTGACAGACATTCAATAGGGAAATAGCAGGGAGAGTGATGTGTGCGCAAACCAGGGACGATTCCAGGCACGGGGGGGTCTTCAGCGACAGACAGGCAATCTCCCCCCCTAGGCTTGGGGCCTCAGCCGAGCTCCCTCCGTGACTGGACAGCGGATTGGAGACTCGGGCAACAGGCGGCAACCTACCACTGGGCAGGGGCTCGGGCAACAGACGGCAACCTACCACTGGGCAGGGGCCTCGGGCAACAGGCGGCAATCTACCCCTGGACTGGGGCTTGGGCAACAGACGGCAACCTACCACTGGGCAGGGGCTCAGGCAACAGACGGCAACCTACCACTGGACAGGGGCCTCGGGCAACAGGCGGCAATCTACCCCAGGGCAGGGGCCTCGGGCAACAGGCGGCAACCTACCACTGGGCAGGGGCCTCGGGCAACAGACGGCAATCTACCCCTGGACAGGGGCTCGGGCAACAGACGGCAACCTACCACTGGGCAGGGGCCTCGGGCAACAGACGGCAATCTACCCCTGGACAGGGGCTTGGGCAACAGACGGCAACCTACCACTGGGCAGGGGCTCAGGCAACAGACGGCAACCTACCACTGGACAGGGGCCTCGGGCAACAGGCGGCAATATACCCCTGGGCAGGGGCCTCGGGCAACAGGCGGCAACCTACCACTGGGCAGGGGCCTCGGGCAACAGGCGACAACCTACCACTGGGCCTCGGGGATTCAACGGGACTCTAGCTGTGGAGACTGGCCACAGCACAGCTCCCACCCAGCTTTCTAGGGTCATTGGGTTTACAGGGACTCAACGGGTAGTGAAGGCTCAAGCACTCAGGGGCACCACAGGTAGCTATACTCCAGGCATGCCATCAGGACACGGATGGTCAGCGCACACACAGCGGGGCAGTTCAGGACTCGAGTGGTCGGTGCACACACCGGGGACAGTTCAGAACACGGGTGGTCGGTGCACACAGCAGGCACAGTTCAGGACACAGGTGGTCAGTGAGCACAACAGGGATGGTTAAGGACACGGGTGGTCGGTGCACACAGCAGGGACAGTTCAGGACACGGTGGTCGGTGCACACAGAGGGGACAGTTCAGAACACGGGTGGTCGGTGCACACAGCGGGGACAGTTCAGAACACAGGTGGTCAGTGCACACAACAGGAACAGTTCAGGACACGGGTGGTCAGTGTGCACAACAGGGACAGTTCAGGACACGGGTGGTCAGTGCGCACAACAGGGACAGTTCAGGACACGGGTGGTCGGTGCGCACAACAGGGACAGTTCAGGATATGGGTGGTCGGTGCACACAGCGGTGACAGTTCAGGACACAGGTGGTCGGTGCACACAGTGGGGACAGTTCAGGACACGGGTTGTCGGTGCACACAGCGGGGACAGTTCAGGACACTCACGGTAAGCAGCTTGCAGACCCTCAGCGGCAGGCGGCTCTAGACAGTGTTATGATCCGCCAGGTGGTGCCTCAGGCTGCCCACTGGACAGACCTACCCAGAGCGTGGAGTCTAAGCCCCGGTCTGTGCTTTCACCAGGGCCCCTGATGGTGGGGATGGACTTGTAACAGACCAGGGCCAGGTCACGACCTCCGAGCAGGCCCACCAGTGGCAGAGGGAGCCCCTGGGGATGTATGCAGGTACCGGGAGAGCCAGATGTGAAAAGGACGGCGGGACCTAGCAGGATGATCACGAGCCGTGGTCCCGTGGGGTAAGCGAGGTACTGAATCGGCAGGCGAAGAATAGTCAGGTCACACGCAGGGTCAGCAGGATAAGTCAGTCCGCAGAATGGTCAAACAAGCCGGGGGTCAGGATAGGAGAAGGCAGAGTAGTTAGGGCAATCCGGGTCAAAGCACAGGAGAAGGCAGCGTAGTCAGGGCAATCCGGTCAAATCACAGGAGAAGGCAGCGTAGTCAGGGCAATCAGGGTCACTAAACAGGTACAGGAACTTCAGGATCACAGATACACCTTGCGGCAATCTGTGACAGTGCAGGGCATCTTTAAATAGTGCGCCCTGCACTGTCATTGGCCGGCCAGGACACGCCCCCGGGCTGTCATTGGCCGCCCGAGGCACGCCCGCGGCTCCTACTGCGCATGCGCGGCGTCCTGTCAGCCGCGGCCCGCCGAGACCTAGTGCCTGTGTCCCGGCGTGAGCTGTTGCCAGTGCGCGTGCGCCGGGAGAGGAGCCGCGATCCCTGACAGACAGGGATGACCAGCGGTCAGCATTCCAGGGACAACCAGTGATCAGCAGACAGCAGCAGCTCCCAGGGCACTCAGCAGCAGACAGCTTCCAGGGACACGCAGCCATGGACAGTGTGCAGACTCCCTCAGCAGCAGCTCCCGGGGCACTCAGCAGCAGACAGGGTGCAAGGGTGCTCAGTAGACAGGCTTACAGACTGGCAGGGTCTTGGCTGTGGGGTCTGACCTTTGAGGAGAAGGCTCATGCAGAGCTGTGGAGACTCCCAACCCTGGGGTATTGTAGAGGGCTACAGTCCTGACCTTTTGGGGTCTGCAGAGTGCGCAGGGGGGATGGCTGGGAAGCTCGGTCCCCCTCACCCGAGCCTCCCAGCATCTTTCTGGGAGCAAGATGGTTCCAGCCGCATGGCCAGGAACAGAGAGAGGGCTACTTCCTGTGAGAGGGTTTTGAAAATCAAGTGGGACGCGGCTAGGTTGCCTCGGCAACGGCCAGCCCAGCAGACTTCAGAATGTGCCAGGGGGGAGGGAGGGGTGGAGGGATATGGCGGGGGATGGGAGAGGCACTGGCAGTCTGTGACAGTGCACATAATTCAAAAACATAAAAACAATATGTTGCGCTCCTTTGAATATTAAATCAATACATATTTCAAATATATATATATCTAAAAAAAAATCGATATTAATAAACTAGTGAAAAACAGAAAATTATGTGAAAATCAAAAATGCCATCCCGTGCTCATCATACAAAAAAAAAAAAATATAAAAATTAATCAGTCTTCAATGAAAAATATATGTGACTTTTCCCAGTGAATCAAATCAGTAATTCCAGGTGACTTCCTTCATTTGTATAAGATGTGCGCTCACCTCCAGATTAGCCTGTAACAGGCTAATAACGCTTTTTGTCCACTTAATGGGACTGATGTTTGTTGCACCATATGAAGAGTGGTGGGTCCCTCTCAGGCTGATTCCCGTCTCCTACTCCTGCTGGGATCAAACTCTTATACTGCTTATCTCCTGCTTTCATTTCCTTGGCAGGTGCCCTAGTGGAAAGAAAAATTTCCAAAAATAGTGCTTTATCTTTTTAAAAAAACAGTGCTTTATTTAAGTACCAGTTGCACTCACATTTAAATAATGTAAAAACCGCTTTTATATCACCAACAATACATCAACAGCATGCCAAACACTGCCTGCCTTGTGTAGACCTGTCGTCCTCAAATGGCCAGTGACGTCGTAGCCCCTCCCTTACGCGTTACGCCGCCGGTCACGCGGCTTCATCAGGTGGTTGTGATTGGATGTTCACTTCTTCATTCACTCTTTATATAGTGGCTATCCTCCATTTTATTGTAGTTAACATGTACGTGGCCATATTTTTGGGGCCGTAATTCTAATACATTCTAATCTTCCCTGCCGATGTTTTCTTAAGGAAATACAATGTTGCTTTCCAACTATACGCTACATGTTGCTCCCATTTTTGGACAGATGGTGAACACATTACAATGTAACAAAAAGGATGACAGATGTTATATCCTTGAGGATACTGAAGTATATCAAAGTATAATCCAATAAACTCATTTTTTAACAAAATGTACAATATTTATTAAATAAAAAAATTGAAAATATATATAAAAATATATGCATGAAAAGTAAAAAATAAAATATACAAAATAAAAATAAAATAAAATGTATAATACCAGAAAAAATTTAAGCCAAAATGAATATGGAATATATTAAAAATATATTCCCATATATACTAAATAGTACTAAATATCACTAATAAAACATGCTAAATCAAACTCTTTATTCAGACCACCTGGGGCCAAACTCCCCAACTCATAAATCCATAGAGATTCCTTCTTACTAATTTCCCTAACCAAATTATCTCCCCTCCAATGGGAATTATGTTTTTCTATTCCCCAATATTCGACCTTATCTGCTTTACTATTGTGATATATTCTGAAAATGCATGGATAGATGATGATACTTAAAACCTATATTAATATTATGAATATGGTCTTTCATGCGTTCTTTCAAACTGCGTTTAGTACGTCCTATGTATAATAAATTACATGGACATTTAAGCGCTTAAACAACTCCCTTAGTATTGCATGATATAAACTGTTTTATTTTATATTGTTTGTTGTTGGATTAATGAATGTAAACCTGCGTTTAGGATTAGAGGAGGTTCTTTTATAACTATAACATCTACCACACCTATAAAATCCAACACCTTGAAAAAAACAATGTAGTCTTGCTGTTCCCAGGGGGTTCTAATACACTTTTAACTATCTTGTCTCTGCTATTCGGTGCTTTAGTATAGATGAATCTAGGTTGATCGTTTATTGTAGTTTTTAAATCCTTATCTAATTTCAAGATATGCTTCTTAATAATGTTTTGCACATTTATATGTTGTATACTGTAGGGTAATACTATGGATAAATCCCCATTTTCAATATTCGGTGGTCTAACAGTATCTAATAGGCTATTTTGATCCATGTTTCCAACTTCTTGACTTGTTGTTTCCACTACTTCTTTTTTATAACCCTTATCCATAAACCTCTTAATGAATATTTTACTCTGTTCTATATAGTCATTACTGAATGTGCAATTTCTTCTTAGGCGGAGGAATTGACCTCTTGGTATTATTTCTTATCCACGGTTTATGGTGACAGCTGTTGACCTGTATGTATGAATTCCGGTCCGTCTTTTTGAAATAATTTTTAGTATATATATTTGTGTGCCACTATTATTAAAGCAAATATCTAAAAAAAAATATTTCTTTATTACTTCTATTCCAGCTCAATGATATATTTGTATTATTAATGTTTAAATTATCATATAATTCTACCAATGAGGATTAGTTTCCTTTCCAAATTATTATAATATCATCGATAAATCTTTTATAGAGGACTACTTCTTCTTGTTTGTTAGTAAATATGACTTCCTCTTCCCATTTCACCATATAAAGATTGGCGATACTTGAGGCGAATCTAGCGCTCATAGCCACTCCCCTTATCTGCAGATAATATTTATCCTGGTACCAAAAATAGTTATGGTTGAGGCAAAAGTCTATACATTTAAGTATATATTTTTGTTGTATATTAGGGAGGGTGGAATATTTCTTT